ATCTGTCTCTTTCTTTTCCACTTGATGTTGTGATGGGGAAAATGATAAAAGTTATGATGGTGTATGGCTCAGGGAATTTTTAAAAACAAACTTTAAAAACTGAAATCAGAGTGTTAGACCAGAGACAAAAGAATTGACCAAACACTTAGTGCGGAAGAGTGCTGGTAAAAAGTAATGAGAGGGAAAAAAATAGAGGATAATTTCTAATCCTTGTCATATGCTGTTTAAACACAAATTACCCTGAGGCAAAATCTTTCTTGTGTTTTCATCAAGAAACAGACAGATCACACTGTAGCTAACTAAAAATAAGATGAACTGTCTTTGTGTGTGTGTATGTCAAAGAGAGAGACCTTGCACTTAATTTAGAATATTTGCATGAGGACAACTCTCCAAAGTACTTCATAAGGTAAGTTAAGCTTCCCAACATCACTATGAGTAATCAATATCTTCATTTTTCACAAGGAAAAATGGAAAGTCAATAATTCAGAGTCTATCTTCCAGGGTCCAGAAAACTGTAGCAAGCCATGAGTATAATTTCTTGTGTAGAGATCTTAAGTTTCCAGATTTATGGATTTTAAACATAGATTTTTCTTTGATAGGTTTTTGAATGTTAATAAAATCTGTCTTCAATGTGTTCTTTGGGAGAGAACTGTTAAAGATGAAAATTTCAAAGTCTTCTTAAAAATGTATTTATACCAACAGAAATATATACACACAACTAGATTCTGGGAATATGCCATCAACTGCAAGCTTGTTTATGCAGAGAAATTTTTCATAGTAGGATCTTGTCAGGATAAGAATAATAGATTAAAATATTGCTCTGTTTATGATGGGGAAAACAAAGAAGAATTTTATGTAGCTTCTATCCAGTTGATTGGTCATCCTCTGGTACAGTAAAGATCTGAAAAGATACTACTAAACAGTAAAAGCTTCTCTTACTTTTATTAATATAATATTTTTGTATGTCATTTAGTTTTGCTGTCTACTTCTAACTTCCTAAATTAGTTTCAAAATGGTGGTGTTCAGTAAAATAGAAATGAGAAAGCAGTAGTAACTGAAATCCATTGCTGAGTATCAAAATAATCATCAGTTATTTTTTTAACAAATCATATGTTGTCATTTGGTGATTCTTACAAGATGCTATAAAAAATTGTTCTTCTACCTTTAAAATTAAATAATTTTGATATGACCCTGAGTTTAAATAGGGTTAATGAAGTCACTTTAACAAACATTATATTACAGGGGAACTGTTTGAGTGATAGAAAGCTTGAACACAAAAATAAAATTGACTGTTTGGGATGAGGATGGGGAAGACATTCCTAAAGCCTGCCAGTTTAATTTTTGAACATATAAAAAACTGGATATCTGAAATGGTATAATTTTCCTGAGATACCTAATGCAATATTTCATTATGTTTAGCCATTATTTTATAGTGTTCCAAAACACGTAAGATTTTGTTTGACTCTGTTGACCTCTGTCTGGCTTGGTCCTGATAGAGTGGTCTGAAAAACAGAATTGTTTTTATTATCTGCTGAAAATATATTTTACTCTGCAACCTTAAATCCTTTTTGTGTCTTTTTCTGTCTTTTGTTATGTCAGTACTTATGCCCAGTGAATTATGAATAAGTACTAGTGTACTGAACATAAAATTTCAGATGCTACTGACAATCCATCTATGAAATTAAGTAAATTTATCACTTTGGCTACTGCTCTTGAAAAGTTATGATGAAGTTTGAATTACTTTTGTCTTTTTTATTGAAAATTTTACTTTTAAACTATTCTTCAAAATATTCTTTTGAAACTCTTTATATTTCTAATTTTTATCTGATTATTCTTGACAAAGAAATGAAACTAACCTTACTGGAACATTCACATATGTAGTTTACTTTCTACATTTGTTGTTTCCTTAATGTGTATGGTTATGTGATCATGTCATCAACTTAAATATATTCTCTGAATATGACATACAGTGAATATAGATGGCATCTCACTATTAACAGTCTTGTGACAAGAGCCTTATGAAGGCTCTTGTAGTCAAATGTTCCACTTTTACCCTACTTTTAAAAGCAGTTGATCAGTCCTCAAGCAGCAGTTTCAAAGAGGATTTTCTCTTTGTTAATCAAAATATCTGACCCACTGAATCCAAAGCTGTATGACTTTAAAAAAAATTGCAATCTAAAGGGTTTCTAAGTCAAGGGAGGGAGGCAAAGTCACACAAAATCAAGGAAAACCATCTGAGCTTTCAAGCCTATGTGTATTTCAGAGGTCTTACCTCACACCAGCTCTAGTCTGGCCCCATGGCAGCTAGGGTTTATTAGGAGGGCTTCAACCTATATATTCTAGTTTCATCCAGAAGGAGAACAGTTTGAGCAGTGCAATATCAATTTCAGTATGAAATGAAAAGTGATGAAAGATGAAGAAGTTCAATTCAAAAGTGTCATCACAGTCTGAAAAAATACACTCTAATGCAAATAAGGATGAAGTCTGCATTACATCTCTTGAAGAGGTACCCAGGAATATGATAAGCTCTGTGGTAGTGGTCCCTGCCCCATGCTCCTGCTGCAATGGAAGAGCTTACAGTGCAGTTCTGCTACCTGGAAATAAAGAATTTAGCCATTGATTTCTTATCTCTTTTTTAAATATTATGGCCTATTTCACAAGTGCATACTGAAGAATTTTGTATGCTTTTCAAGTTCTGTTTTCAGAATCATAACAACAGAAACCTACTGAAAAGCCACTGCCACTTTGTTCCTCTACTCCTTATTTCAGTGCTTCCTGTTCTTTCACTATCTTTGCCTCCTCAGTAACTACCTACTCTCCATTTGACCACTTTATTGTTTGTCCCTTTCTCCTTATTTCCCTACTACTTCTTTCAAACTAATTCCTGTTGAGAATTTTATTATTCTTTGTTTCTTTTCCTTCAGTCCTATTCCTAATCACAGCTTTCTAAAATTTCACATAGCATTGTCACTTAGTTGTGCTCACATTTTACCAGACAGAAGACAAATTTAGCTATCGGTAGTTACCATAAACAAGTTCTTTTGCTTTTAAATATGGAAAGTGTATTAAGCATTTTCTAAATTCTCTGGAACTTCTAAAATAATTGCTAATTTTTTTGTAAAACCAGTCAAAGTAGTGACAAAAGATGTACTTTAAATTCTTGGGCATATACATTTTCTGGCCTGCTGGGTTGTACTTCCTGAAATTTTCACCTTAGCTAAGGTGCTTGCATAAGTTACTTTCACCTGACTTTAACACTCTCTTCTGATACATTTCATCTCATATCATTTGCATTGTTGGAACTTTCAATACATATCCCATTCCTATAAATTAGTGACTGCTGGAGCTTAGATTAATGAACTCTCATTAGTTATTTCCTTCCCATTTTGTTTCCTGTATAAATTTGGAGATGATTGCTAAAATAAATTACTTGTACAGTCAGTGGCTTTAAGTGCTTTTCTGTTTCCTGCTGTGGTGAGAAGTGCCTCATTCAATTGTTTCAAAATAAAGGCCTTAAGTAACTTTTCTCCTTTTCGAGCATCCTCCTCCATTACAAACTTTACTGAAGCTAAAACTTTGATTTGTAGTATCATTTCTGTACATTAGGATTTACTGCAGAGGGTTTTTTTCTGAAAAAGTTATTTCTCAATAAGTTACTGCTTTAGTTACATGGTTCTGGAACAAATGGCAAATGCAATTTCTAATATCCTTGTTGAATGAAATGTGCCAGTTCTACAAAACAGCATCAAAATCTTTTTCCCACTTATTTTTGGGATAAAATGTGGAGTACTCTGTATTACAAGCAGTGCTACCTCCACTATAATAAGAAGAATGATTTTGCTCTTTCAAACCCAGGGCTATATTGAAAAAGAATTACTGTCATTTTACTTGAAAAAAATCCTGCAATTTCAGACTGTATTGCAGATCACAAGAACAATAAAGCAGAACAAAGAAGCTCATAATGAGAATTTTTTTCCTCTCTGGACTCATCATGTTTACACAACATGTTGCCAAATGCAGAATATTGCATTTTCAAGTATGTATGTTTTAAATATTTATGGATAGAGAATAATTCCTTTTAGTAAGAGATAAAAATGATTCTTGATCCTTTAGCACATTGCAGTTATAAAACCATTATTCAAATTCATTAGGTTTTCCAACTGTTAAATGAAAAACTCTGCAAAGGCTTTTTAAATCTTATTGAAATATTTCTAATACAGATGATCAATTCTGACAGGTTTATGAGATTTGAGTGGTGGCAGGTGAAAAATCTGAAAGTAAATTTATATTTCTGTAATCATGAGCCTTATCACTTGAGAGCATGAAAGCAAACATTTAAGGTCAGTTTGGATGGGACTCTGAGCAACCTGATCTTGTTGAAGATGTCCCTGCTCATTGCAGGGAGGCTGGATTGGATGACCTTTAAAGGTGCCTTCCAACCCGAACTCTTCTGTGAAACTGATGGTGTGAACAAAATTTTGATGGTCAGTGTTTTCTAAATAAATGCAGTCACGGGAATGCTAAAATAGTTAAGTTGCTTTTGATAAATTATAGATTGTCCTTTTCACATAGTTTTCAGATTTCCCTTTGGTATTTTAATAAGACAGTTGCATATTGTGCTAGGAATTTCACTCATTTTCTGGCTCATTATTTATTCTCTGACCTATCAAAGTTATGATTTAGGTGACTTTCTGATATGAAAAAGAATTTAAGAGGAAGAGATTTTGACATTGCTACAGAATAATTAAGAAAAGGTTGGTAATATTGAATAGGGCTACAAGTGATTTACATTTTTTTTTTTAAATTTGTCCTCACTTTGGATATGTTGTGTATAAGTATTAGATGTGATTACAACAATATGGTGAGCAGCAGTAATGTAATAACACACAAAAAAAGGCCAGTTAGCTTTTTATATTTGCCCTAATTTCTCCATGATGTTGCTAAGATCTGCCTTCAGTTAAATGCCTTTCTTTTCTTTTGTTTTGGATTCTATTTCACAGAATCACAGAATATGCAGCTGGAAGGGACCCGTAAGGATCACCGAGTCCAACTCCTGGCCCTGCACAGGACAATCCCTGAGAGTCACACCATGTGCCTGAGAATATTGTCCAAATGCTTCTTGAATTCTGTCAGGCTTGGGGCTGTGGCCGCTTCCCTGGGGAGCCTGTTCCAGTGCTCAACAACTTTCTGGGTGAAGAAAGTTTTTCTAGTATCTAACCTAAACCTCCTCTGAGACAACTTCAGGTCATTCCCTTCGGTTCTGTCACTGTTTGTTTTGTTGGGTCTGTTATTCTTTATACCGGTTAGACTGAGTTTAAATTTAACTGAAATTTAATTTTGTTTAAAAACTGCTGTATTCACCTCAAAATAATTTTGTTATTCCATCATAGTGTTGTTTTGGAGCCTGTTTCTTCATGCTGATACTTCTGAGATGTTCTGTGAGGGACTCCACTGATTTTACATAGGCTTAAGAGGCAAACCTACACACTAGGCTTTAATACCTATCTCCTTTTAATTTGTATTAGATTTGGGATATTTGTAGGCTGTTTTGGAAAAAAAGAAGAAAGAAAAAAAAAAGATAGCAGTTTTACAGAAAACAAGAAAATGCAGGGATTTTGTGAACAAGAAAAGCTCCCTAGTGACCATTGCTTCGGTAAAACTATTTTTCTACAAATGTGGTCTTTTCATCATGGCTATTTCATAATTTTTTTTAATATCATGATAAAACATCACCCCATTAAGATTTCAAATGCAAACATTCAGCTCTAGTAACAAGTAATTAGCTCTCATAACAATGGAAACTAAAAATTACAGGCAGCATAAATTGCTTTAAACTCAACTAGCCTATTTTTTTTAAGTTTGCTCCAGTATTAAAGTTTCTCATTACAATTGAAATTATTTTAATGTGACATATTGAATTATAATTAGTATAATTACAAATAATAAAATATTATTCAAAGACTGTTTATTCAATAGGACTTGTTCCCATAGAAACAAGGAGAAAAAGACTCAATTTATTCAGGTTTCATGGCAAATAAATATTCTTCTATCGTGAATGTTTAATGCTTTTACATTTATATTTCACAAGAATATCACAAAAAATCAATAGGCATCTGTATATAGGATATTTCCTTTACTCTTTACTTGAATTTTTAGTGGTATTTATTGTAAAAAGACCAAAAGAAAATAAAGCAAACCCTGAGGAAATCTATTTGTGCACCAAGAAGAGCCACAGATGTTTTCTTGGTATTGATCTTCAGCAATAATGATTTTTAAGCACTGAAGAAGTGCATATGGGGATTTTGTGTGATGGCCAAGGAAAAAAGAAAACACCAAAAATCAGCAAAACAAAACACAGAAGAAATAGGAGGCTAAAGAGCTGCATCAGGATTGCCAGCAGTCAGCATAGCTTTCATCTGGTGCAAGTACTGTCGGCTTGTGTTTGCAAAACCTCATGATTTATTTAGAATTTTAATTAAAGAAAAGGAGTGATTGGAACAGCATCCTAGCAGTACCTAGCATCTGCCGACCGTGGCTAATGATTTTTACAACCTCATCTGCAAACACTCCATTAAAGAAGCTAACCATGATGTGTGACACAACTGAAGCAAATGGGTGAGAGAAAACAAACCTTGCCTACAGCTATCACTAATAAAAGAGACAGAATAAGATTAAAAAAAAAAAAAAAAAGACGCTATTTGCAAAGTCGTGTAGCTTCAGGGCTCAATCTCAAGTCCCTGGAAATAAGGATCGTTACATACTCATGAGCATGTGAAGCATCTTGGCCTCTGGATACTCTCTTGACAGCTTTTTTAGAATTTGCATTATTTTTCTGTTTTCCAAAGAAAAGAAAAAAAAAACAACACTTCAATTTTAAAAGCAAAAGACCCTTGAAGTTTTCTTCCATCATGCTTGTCATTTGGTCTCTCTTTTTCTAGCTCTTTAAAACTAGTGTTTTGCATTTGGTTGGGATTTCACTGTACAAGGTATAACATATAGTATGGTAAGTCCTGGGTACAGAGGGATATTATGGTCAGAAGTCATAAATTGATGAGGAATGCAAAGAGACAAAGTGATTATAACTTCCCTGACCAATGGCTGCAGCTTTTCTTCTATGCTTAAGTGCTCTGTCCTTTTCTCCCTGGTTTCAAATAAGTTAAATATTGCAGCAAACTGGATCCAATCAAGATTCTCTCTGAAGAACACCTTTTGGGATTTAGCCTACCAATAAGCAAATTCTAACATTTTCCTTGGGGATTAAAAAAAAAAAAAAAAATTACTGCTACAGTATTGGCTAAGGTAGTTCAGATTTTTTGTGTTCCTCTTACATAGTTTTTGGAGGTGGGAAGGAACTATTAATGGTTGCAGCCCTTTGCCTGCCAGAGAAAAGTTCTTTATTTCGTTATAATACAACCACCGTACTAATAGAGTGCATTTATCTCTGGATATCTGCTAGAGGAATCTTGAATCTTAGGTTTGATTCCTGTCCAGACCAATTTGTGCACAGAGACAAGTACCACATGTGAGTGTACAGACACACCAAAATAATGGTAAGTGTCTGCAACAACTGCTGAGCTCCTTTTGAAAGTCAAGTACATGAAAAACAAAGAGAAAACCCACAAAGGTCAAATATTGTGTACTTCAGAGTTTAAGGAGTCTTGAAAATGTTGACTAGAATAATAGAGAGCTTCATTTGAGACAGAACATTTTAAGAGGCAGGTTCTTGCAATAATTAAATTGTTGTAAAGCTTGGCATGCATTTTTTGTAGTGTATCATAAGTTAAAAAAAATCATCCTGCTGCAACCAAAAGTAATTCTATAGCTTGGTGTATTTAATAAATATGTTAAACTTATGGGTTATAAGAGACTGGGTAACGAGTATTGATACAAAGAAAAGAAACACATAGAGTTTTCCATCCTCTGTTCCTTTCCAGAAGTGGGAAAGTTTCTGATCACTGAAAATGACCCTATAGAAAAACATCCTGCTTTCTTTTGGGAAATGAGCAGTCTCCTTAAGAAATCTGGGCACTTTTCCTGGCAGATCTGGGATTTATTCCAGTCGAAAGAACAGTGTAACTATGATTTTTTTATTGTTCTGGAAGAAAATATACCTGTATAAGAAGTATTCTTGCAGTTAATACAATCTCTTCACATCAGGCATCTTTGTTAGTTAGCTCGCATTGGGTTTCACTCCATTGTCTGGCTGGCGGGCTTCAGCTGCTTTTTGTAATACTGCAGGCACATATCAGTACTTTTATGGCTGAAGTGAAAATCCTTAAGTTTTCTTTTGACTGCTTACCATTCTTTACACATTAAATTTCATCTAAATACCGTAATTAATTGTATTTTTTCATGTCCTACATTTTCTCAGTGTGTTACCTTTAAATCATATGAGTATTATGGAACTGATTTTCTGTGAACTAGTGGGATTTCAGAAATGTCCTCTAAGGAGATGCTCATAAAATTCTGTACACAGAAACATTCAGAAAATTCAGCTGAACTTGTAGAAGAATTTAAAATACTTAAAATATTCTGCATGGATTTACAGAAAAGCCATTGGACTTATGTTGCAACACTACTGTCAGCTTTCAGACAGACAGTGCAAAAAGTAATTTGGACTCAGCTCAGAAAAATCTGTATCTGTCCTTATTGCCCACTTTGCAATTTACTAATATTTCAGTTAGAAACCTGACCTCAAACAAATTCAGACTAAGTAGTTTTATGAGTCACTGAAGTGGAGGAAAGAGTCAGAAATTCAAGTGCACCTGTAGGCTCAAGACAAAAATCTCATATTTACTTATTTTAAATTAGTCATTTTACTTCATAAGTAGAAGCTGAAGATATTTGATCTGAGTTTTAAGTATCTGCACTCAGTACAAAATTGAATGGGGATTTCAATACCCCTAGATATCCCCAGCTACAGGGGCAACATCTCTGAAAAGGGCAACTGTCAAAACACATATTTCAATACTTAACTTTAGACAGCTAAATATAATTTCTCTGGTTCATTGTTTATTTTTTCTCCACGTGAACCATATCCCCAGCGGAAGATCTGTTGCATTCAAATCCTACTTTCTTACCTGTCTGGGTTTTGCACAACCCGATCACTCTCAGCTCAAGTGTTTTGGGTGGCTGGAGTCATTCATGTCAGCCTTGTGAAAACAGTGCAGACACAGAAAACGTGCCCAATTCCTTTCAATTTGTTGTATTACCTTTCTTTGATTTGTTTTCCAGGCATGGATTGATGGGCTAGAAAAAATTCATTTTTCATAGTCTGAGATAAATTGAAGGGAGCAAAGTATCTTTCTTTGTTACAAGAACATATTTGAAATTAAATTATTGTGAGACAATAAGAATATGTTTTCAGAACAATTTTTCAAACTGTTGCATTGCTCTTCAAACTTAGAAGATCCAGGGCCTTACTGGCTCTGATTAGATAGATAGATGTCTAATCTCATATTTATGGATTTCAGTGTTTATATAACTCAAGCTACGTGTTGAAAGTCCATGCCAGATTCTTTTACATGTCAGATGTTTTGTAAGGGAAGACATAATCTGTTGGCCTGGAAACAATGATTTCACTGACAGAGCAGTCTTCAAACTATGTTTCTAAAGGGATGCCTCTTGCTGTTCTGTGAAGGACTAGCAGTCATTATAGTCAAATTCTTGTCAGCTCTTGATGAGTTATCTTAAGAGTATTATAGAATATGCTAAATGGTTTCCTAATGTTAAATTATTGTATACAATTTTTGATAATTGCTTACCACGTGATACACAATGGCAATATAGAATGGAGAATGGCTCTAGTAACTACAAATTAAAGGTAGGCTAAAATCGCTCAGCTTGAGGGAAAGAAAATCATAGTGATTTTTGTGGATTTTTTTTTAAATGACATGTAAAGCCATTGAAAATCAAGTTTGCACTTGGCCTTTTTATAGATAGATAGCCCCTTGCTTTTATCTAGAGACTGGAGAGAACCAAACACCCTGGTCTCTACCCTGGCACATGAGACTTTTTGGTTATTGCAGAACAGTAGGGTAGATTCAGTATGTCCAGTTTCACTGTATACACTGCATAGCTGTACCAGTAGTCCTGGCTTAAGCGACTTTTCTTTTGCTCTTTTGCTTTTTGAAATTCAAATCTATCTCCTGTCAACATTCTGTATCCACATATTATTTGGCTTGTGGATTAAGTGTACTCAGTGTCGCAGCAAGTTGGAACTTTCATTAGATATAGTATAGTGCTGTTATCTCTCTCCCTGTCATAAGACTTGATGTGGTTGACTGGAAGTTGGACTCTTTACTTCAAATCCAAATGTAGGACAGTATGTTTACCAAATGTACTGATGGGTTAAGCTTATGCTTTTATCTGATTTATGGTACTCCAT